ACTTTTCTGATCAACACAATTTATTGATCAGATCCTTAAGTTCTCTCTGGTAGTCATGCCTATTAGAGAGAGAGAAATAGCGAAAGAGTAGGTATTCTGGAATTTGCTTTCACCCAGCTGTTCTCTTGACTGCATCACTGTGTGTGTGTGTGTGTGTGTGTGTGTGTGTGTGTGTGGTCATGGGAACCAGGACTTGAGGCACGACTAGAAAACTTGACATCGAATAGATTTGAGGTCATGCGGCACTGGATCTTAATGTGAATTTCGTTGACCTTGTAAGGTTCCTGAGGTCTGGAGAAATGACATTAAGGTGCCGAAATCAAGATGACTGATGGGAAGTCATGCTCTAAGTGCATTTCCATTTTCCCAACGACTGGGAACGCAATCGAGGGGTTATCAGAATTGAAAGAGTCTGTTGATGTAGTGGTGTTAATATTGTGTACCCCACATTGAATAAATAGATTGTTTTCTTGCGTCATGAATGTGCCCGTAATGTGGAAGAAATCGTGTGGTATTTTAAAGCCATTTACAATCTACCTATTGGTTTGTTGTTAGTTTGCACACCTAGTAAATATGCACTATGGTGCGCCGGTTTTGGTTCCAGTCTTTTTGGCTGCCCAGTTGAATGATAGAGTAGAAAAAAGACAGAAAAGGTTGAAAGTAGAGTCTAGGAAAAAAACGGGAAAATTTCAGTAGACTAAGATTTCAAAGTAATTGAGTAGATGCATAAGTGCCACTGGTTACGACATTCTGCCATGTCACTCACTCACTGTCTCTAACCATGGATTACAATGATCCCGAAATCCCAACCCAGTGAGCCTGACGGGACCTACGTGATTCAGTCCCCTGGACAGGGTTTTACTGCCCTCATGCCAGGTCTTAGCTGGACCATCCTTGGCTTTATTCCACTCACTGCCTGCCGCGGTAAACAGTACGCACCGTGGCAATCTATTTGGTGACACGCGTAACGCATGCCCCAACCAACGTAGTCTATGAAAGAGCAACCACTTTCACCAGTGGATGACCGTGATTGCCTACAACTCTACGCCTCACCTCAGCATTGCTCGACCGGCTACCCTACCAGTTTTGTGCAGTGCTACGTAGACAGAGGTGTTCAAATACCGACAATCTATATTTTATCCTGTTTTTGTAATGGCCAAATTTCTGCTCCATGTAGCAGAACTGGCCGAACTACCGCAGTATATACTCGACGCCCCACGGACCTACCTACCTAAGATTGATCAAGAAGTTTCGGGCCACGAGAAGGGTGTGTATGTGATTTGAGAATAGGACTTGGAAAACTGTAATAATGGTAGTAACATTAGTAGTAGCATGCAATGAACGCGGAATACAAATCACGACATACGAATCGCGGATTAGCAGTCACGGAAGTCACGTAAGCACTGCATCACACTGACACTTGCATGCCATATCCCACGTAACCGAGATGCGAGGAAAAGGTCACAGGAATAGTACTAGTTCGTTTATTGAAAGAAATAAGGAGGATTAATTAATGTGCACAAAACCAGCTCGTTGGTCATCCGGACTTCTGGCAATCGCCAATTTATTTGCGGTTGCCAATGAAGTACCCATGCATAAAATACACTTTCTGGTAGCAAGTATATGAATAAAAACGACACAAGATTACCGGATAAGCATGCCTGAAGAGTAGCAAGAATCGCGTCCAGGAAAATTTTGTCCAGTTTTTCTTATAGTGCTTAAATGTAAAATATTCTCTAAAGACACTGAATCCATGTAAGAGGAACTCCAATTGCGTCATATTTTGAGGTGAACATGAATAACCTTGACGTATCATACGTGAGATTACATTCTCTACTTGGTTGCCAGAATTACATACATTCATTGTTACTTTCAGGCTTCACATTTGTCCTGCCAATCGCGTTGACCAAATCATGATCCCATCGGTGAAGGAGAGGCAACGCGGGGCGTACGACTTCAAAACATTCTACGAGGGTGTTTGTGCTCTACACAATGTGGCGCCACTTCAAAGTATCACGTGTCATCTGGCGGAAGGGATTCTTGATGTAAATGTGGACCGAATCCGCGCATCCGATTGGGATCCAATCTTCAAATCTTTGCGAATCAATAAAAATTTAAATTTTGTCGCTTTTCGAAGTTTTATCAACGCGAATGATGAAAGCGGTAAGCACACGAACAGCAGTTTTCAATTTCCATCTCTGAAATCATTGTTCATTCTGTAGCAGGAGTCTGCCGTTGTGAATACGTTCCTTCGCTTATCGCTTGTAAACATTTTGACCATCTATTTGTTCCTATATCCTCCAATCGAGAGCATTCTCCACACAACAAGTATTCAATCCGTTTTCATTCTCTTTCCCTGTTTACGGATGCATAAAATATCTTATTTGTTACACAAAAGTATGCTCGATCCATCAGCATTCGTGCACAGTTGCCTGCACTTAAAACATTTGTTGGAACAGATCGTCCATGTCGAAGTGGGTAACCCTTCGATCAGTCAAATGAAGACCTCCACTGCAGCCATTGATGACTCGCATCGGATTCCACACATCATGTGCTTGACATTTGGGACGACAAGAAGTCACACGGAGCCATGTTGGAACTGTAGGGTGCGTGTCCAACCTTATGGATGCGTTCTATAGCCAGAAAATCATCGACGACATGAGACCTAGGTGTGGTGCATTGTCATGTTGCCGCAAGGTCCCTCGTGCTCGAGTTCTTGGAAGACGCCTGGCAACAGCTTACAGCACTTTAGACAGACAAAAGGTGACGTACCAGAGTCTNCGACTGTGCTTTGCTGTCTGAGCGGTTCAGTAGCCGCATGACGGTCTTTGTCCATGAACATGACCACCATCTACTTTGCCACACTGCTCGCGTCGCAATTTCTGAGACGGGGAACCACTAATCGGTATTCACTGAGGAGATTGTTGTTTGGTCTCTGTTTTGAACTTTTTCTCCCTCGGGTCTCATCGCCACTAGTGCTCTCTGAAACTGCATTCGAACGTCCACCATCAAACCTGACAAGCATGGTGCGGCACCAATTCACTCTGGAACTGCCTCCCATTCCGCACTGAGCTGATGGGTAGCCAGCGTGCAGATAGATACCTTTGAGGCAAAGCTTCTCATGTAAAATGGTGCAGATTGATCCCGATGAAATATGGACTGCCTGCGCCACTGTCCCCCGTGCATCCTTCATCCGACTTCGCCTGCATAACAACAATATTATCCGCTGTAGCAGCCTCCAAAGATTGACCACACCGTATCTCGTCATTCAGTGACTGACTGCCAGGCTTGAATTCCATAAAACACTCCTAGAGGTGCGTCAGCACCGAAGGAAGCTTACAAACAATCAGCACTCTGCTGCTTCCACGGCTTTGAACCATAGTGATATCGACTGAGTTCCATCCTTACGACAGTCTGAGTATATAGCGACCCTCGGATGCACATGAAAATAGAAGTTTTACACAAAAATAAACACCATATTTTCTCCAAGTATTCTTTATCAGCGTTCATGCACATAGCTCCATGCATTCAAACCATTTGGAGAAACAGCTTGACAATGCTGAAGCGGTTAGCCATTTGACCAATTCAATGAGAGACTCCATTGCAGCTGTTCGGGACTCCGATCGGATTCCATGCCTCATTCGCTTGACATTTTGGAACACAATTAAGTTACACGGAGCCAGTTCTGGACTGTGGGATGAGTGACCAGCCTCCTGGATGCGTACGCTAGATAGAAAATCGTTGATCTCATGGGATCTGTGTGCAGGTACGTTGTCATGGTGCAGCAAGGTCTATCGTGCTCGATTACTTGAATGAAGTCTGGCAACAGCTTCCAGCACTTTCGGCTGTCACTGGGTGGCGTACCAATCTCTGGTGACTGTACTTTGCTGTACGGACGGTACAGTAGTGGCATGATCGGCTTCAGTCAGAAACATAGCGACCATCTGCTTTGCCACACTGCACTCGCGTCGGAATTTTTGAGGCGGCGCTCCAACAACCAGCATCCACTGAGTTGATTGTTTCTTGGTCTCTGGGTCGAAATCGTACACCCGGGTCTCATCACCACTGATGATCTCCCAAACTGCATTGGAACGTCCATCATCAAACCCGGCAAACATGGTGCAGCACCAATTCACTTCGGAACTGGTTTCTGTGTCCTCACTGAGCCTATGGGGGAACCCAGCGTGTGCAAACCTTTCTTAGACCGAGCTTCCCACGTAGGACAGTCGTATACCTCTGTCGTCAACCATCCTCACTTCATACCGGAGAACCCAGATTACTTGGCGTTAATTTGAAGGATGAGAAAGACGTCGAAAACGTTTTTCTTTATAATTACCTTCTTGACAAAGTTTCGAGTCGTATAAAAATACATCCCGATCGACCGTGGACCGAATGTATGCGCCATCGCACGAACCGAGTAGATAAACGCTAGTCGAAGAATAAACAAGTTGTATTGATTCACGGAGTCCCGAAATTAAACGATCCAGACGCATCTACATGCCAACAAAAGGATTTATTCAAGAGTTGATTGGATGCCACAATATTTTCACCACCTCAGTCAACCGACTTCCGTGTTCAGCAAAAGACCGTAAAAACAGCCCGAAGATTATGAAAGTAACCTTCGGTACCCCGGAAATGGTCAAATCGGTCTTGCGGGCATGGTATCAAAACCGAAGAAGAGAGGACCACCAGAATTATGGCTCAGACCACTGTTGAATAATGAGATAAAACGATGTCCGCAGCTAGAAAACGGGGCTAACACGCTGCCTCTTCCCCACCGAACTCCACTTCCCTCTACTTCTTCGGGAGCCTACAGCCAAAAAACTACTGCTAGCCGACCGCAGAATGATCGGCAGAAACAACGATTCGAAACCCAGCGGATTCCTAAACAGACGCTCCCTAGCTTATTTTTACACAAACGCACAAGGCTTCCTTAGCAAATTCCCCGAGGTTCAAATGTGCTTGCAAACTGGTCAGTGGAATCTTGTTGCCATTACCAAACTTGGTTGACTGCCGATATTCTCGATTCTGAATTGCACCTACTCGGAATGTCGCTGCTGAGGCGTGATCGTTCTACACGAGGTGGCGGTGTGCTGTTATATATGTCCGCAGCAACCTTCGATGTGAATCACTCGATCTCTTCGATGCAGCCCCCGACACAGTTTGGTGCACAATGAGGCTGTCCAAAGATAACAGTTGTTTGATCGGTGTAGTCTACCGCTTTCCTGCATCCTCAGACCTAGCTAACGAGGCACTCTTGCAGACTATGAGAAATGCTCTCAGTAAAGTTCACTCATATTATCATAATGGGAGACTTCAATTGTCAAATTTTTACAAAACGCCAGAACTATCACCATCCTTTCTAGTGAAATTTATCACATATTTATAGACTCACATTCGATGTATAATCACGTGAAGAATCCCACCAGATTTGGAACAGGCCACCAACCATCAATATATTGGACCTGGTATTGACAAGTGAGGAATCGGTCGAAATAACGTCTCCATTAGGACAAAGCGACCATTCAGTTCCGCTTTTCAATTACATTTACCAAAACTCAATAGAAAAATGCCTGAAAACCAACACACTCACCGTTATTGACTACAATGAATTGCTGAACCTTGCTACTGGAGTTCTGGAAAGGATTCATTGAAACACTAACAGAACTCACAACGATCACCACAAAAACCAAGCCTGTCGGTACGTCACCTACACGATTATCACCTATTCGTAGTCGAACCAAGAAATGCATGTCACAGAGGAATTTCTCCTGGTGAGAGTTAAGATGTCCGACCGCCGACACTTGGGATAACTATATCATGTTGAGAAGCCGTTGTGTAAAATTAGTGCGAGAGGATAAACGGAGGTTTCAAGAAACTCTGGCACGTAAATTTATTTCCAATCCAAAGCTACTGTATAATTATATCAATGTTACCAGAAAAGTGGGATATGGAATACCGGCACTAAAGCTTGCAGAACCGGTTTCCATTACTACTGCTGAAGTAGCTGAATTCCCAAAAGTCCAGTTCCACAAAGTGTTCACTGCAGGCAACAAAGGCGGATTGCAGCTTCCACACTTTCTATCAAATGTCCCACACCCCCAACTGACCAGCTTCACGTTCATATGTGGAACGGTTAAAAACAAACTATAGGCGCTGCGCCGGAATTCATCTGCAGGAGAAGAAAACATTCAGCCGCATACCCTGACGTCCTGGGCACATTAAATATCTGAAATAATTACCCATTTATAACAAAGAATGTTCGAAAAGCCGAGGATCCCTTAGTCCTGGAAACGCGGCATCATTTCGCCTATTTACTAAGGTGGCTGCAGAAGTGATCCTGCGAACTATCGTCCTGTTACACTTCTTCCTACTCTGTCAAAAGTAATGGAATCAATTGTTGTTGATTTTCTGCTGGCTCATTTCGAGAAGTATAATATGCTTTCGCCGGTCCAACACGGGTTTAGAAGGAAACTTTCGTGCACCACAAATCTGCTACTTCCACGAGATGAATGGACAAGATCAAGCAACGCAAGAGATGCGGTAGACGTAGTCTACTTAGACTTCTCAAAAGCTTTTGACAGGGTTAACCACCATATATTGCTGCGAGAGCTCCACAATTACGGTGTCCGAGGAATGCTACTAGACTGGATTGAGGAATTTCTTCGACAACGTCCCGTATCGGTTCGAGTTAATGGTTCTCTGTTGGGACCTATTGAGGCTGTCTGTGGAGTTCCGCAAGGATCCGTACTCGGTCCGTACATTTTCCTAGCATTAATAAACGACCTACCAGATGTCCTTGTAGAAAAGGCGTTATTATTTGTTGATGACGCCAAAACATGGTGGACGGTAAAATATCCCGAAGATTATCAAACCTTGCTGGAACCTCTCGACGCAGCTTACCGATAGTCGATCAATAATGGAATCAAATTCAACGTTGAAAAATGCAAGGTTGTATCTCTGCGCCACAGAGGTCGCTTTCCATACTTACTTACTCACCTATTGTCGCATTCTCAAAACGAAAATGACCTGGAAGTTATCGTTTGTGAGGATCTAGGTGGTTCCACACTGCGCAAGAGCGTCATCAAAGGCCATAAAACACGTTGGATTGCTAAAACGTGTATATGGATCATTTGAAACAGACCTATTGTCCCGTTTATTAT